CCATTAAGAATATTTAAAAAAATATTTTAAAGTACAAAACATATATACAGTTTCGTTTCAACTTATTTTTAAATATTTCTTTTTTAAGTTATGTGTAAAACCATCTAGCTTCATATGCCATCTTGCCCCGTTTTACTCTATGTATCTGTGAATACTTCTTTTGTCCTTTAACAGTGTATCCTTTAACAGTGTGTCCATTTTACTGCTGAAAGCAACTTAATTTGCAAAAAACTTTTAAATACTATAATAATATTTGTTTATAAGTAAATTTATTTACTTTCTTTAAACTGTTTATTTCATAAATGAAAAAAAGGTGAATGCTTTTAACTTTAAATATGTTCTAAAATAAAATTTGTTTGAATTTTATGTTAAGGTAGAAACTATTGGCGACGCGTATATGGTTGTTTCTGGACTTCCAACAAAAAATGGAATTTTGCACGCAGGAGAAATAGCTACAATGTCGTTAGATTTGCTGCATCATATTGTATCTTTTAGAGTTAGACATGTCCCAGATCATCATCTTCAATTAAGAATCGGAATACATTCTGGTAATCTTTTTACTTAAATACATTTTTTTTTTGGGAAACCTTAACAAAATTAATATTTAAACTAAATTTAGGTTCGGTTGTGGCTGGTGTTGTTGGTTTAAAAATGCCTCGATATTGCTTATTTGGTGACACTGTTAATTACGCATCACGTATGGAGTCTAGTGGCCTTGCATTGCGAGTTCATGTTAGCCCTGAATGCAAAAAACTTTTAGATGAATTAGGCGATTATTTACTTCAAGATAGAGGTGCCGTATCTATGAAAGGGAAAGGAACAATTCACACATATTTCCTAACTGGAAAAGTTGGTTTTGATAAGGAGCTACCCGATCTCAGTTTAGCTGTAGGACTTGAAATGCACGACTTCAAATGATGTTTCAAGCACTTGAAATCAATGCTAGTTGGATATTGCATAGATTTTGCAAGATAGCTTTAAAAGAAAGCCATAAATGTTCGGATGATACCCTTAACCAAGTAAAACTTGAGGCTTTTAGATTCATCGCGAATTCCACAAAGATATGCTGTATAAAAAAATAATATCAGACTTCAGTTTATAGTTTTTATACTGTAAAATGAAAATACAACAAAGAATCTTTGGAATGTTATTACATAGAGCAACACGAAATTTAAATGTTTTGATACATTTGATTATCCTGTTGATTGTGCGATTTCAACATTTAAATATTTATTTGCACATATTTTTATATAATTTCAGCATTTTTTTTTTAATTTAGATTTAAAACTAGTCTTCTCGTCGGTTTTCTAGTCGAGTAGATTAAAAGAAAAACGCTTATTTTTCAAATGCTATTTTTTCAAGTTTATCTTATTTGTTTTTGTTAAATAACTTCTCGAAGATTTCTTTATAAATATCTTAGTTTTACTTTGTTTTTAATCAATTGTAAATAAAATTCTTTTTGCCCTCTAAGGGTTAGTGCTTATTGTTTTTTTTAACGCTAGTGTAAATGATATTTTTAAACCAATGATGTCATATTAAATGATATCTTTTTATTAGGAAGTTGAAGAGAAATTTTTTTACCTCCAAATTTTTCCTGTTTTGCGTTATTGTAGACTAGAAGAAGCAAGAATTGCTTTTTCTTATGTTATGAAAAACCATCTTGTATCATTTCTTCTATTTTACTTTTTATCAAAAAGGTTCTAAATATTTTTACCATTTTTTCTTGACATATTTCTTTTCTATCAATGCCAAAAATTATTTAGCAGACTTGCCCCAATGGTTACAGTACTGACTTCGAGATTGAGAGATCTGTGGTTTAATGCGTCATTGGTAAGGAAGACAGTGGAAAGCTTCATCGTTTACCTTATTTGAAGTTTATCTTCAATTCCAAATTGATATCGTCGACAACGTAAACATGCTTCCGTTCTTTATTGACTTTTCATGGCATTTACACCACGTTTCTGTCAGACAAATAATAAAATCATGTTTTATTTCATCAAATAAAAATTTTAAATTTTCGAAATTTTTATTTAGACTTTAGATGTTGATATTTAAAACTAAAAATGCGTTTTTATTATTTTTAGGATATTGTGCAGATTGACTAACTGAGTAGTATTTACTTTCAAAATTCAATTTGTCAAAACAGTCGGTTTCAGTGTCATTTTCGTTAATACTTTCATTAGAAAATTAAAATAAAGTTTTTCTCCAGTTTTATAAATGGTTATAAATAAAAAACAAATTTACTTACTTAGCTCTTAAATTAAACTCTTTCGCTATTAACTTATCTTTACAAAAGTAATCCATCAGGGTTATTACAATCATTACAAAAGTAATCGTCTTATCAGGTTATTTTGTATCAAAATTGATTTTAAACGTCATGAAACCTTTTTTCATAAAAACTTTAACCTAGGAAGTTTATAACCTTTTTTCATAAAAACTTTAACCTAGAAAAGCAAGTTTTGCGACATCGGTTGGGAAGGAGGCGTGAATTTCCCATTAAATGCTCTTCCGTGGTGCTCTGTGATAAGACCGTAAGGACTTCTTGGGGCACCTTAATCAACTTATAAAAAAAAAATCTTACACAATAACGGCATAGTTGCCAGCGCGCTGAGAAACGAGCTTTAACGCTGCAGCGTTACGCTCAACCTTTATTTTTTTACTTGATTCGCGTCTAAAACATTAAACTGAATTTTTCGCGTCTAAAACATTGAACTTGTTTCTACATTTGCTAAAATGAAACTTATATAATAATAATATAATTTCAAAACTTACTAAAAAGTAAAGTTTTGAAATTATATTATTATTATATTATAACGTTAGACAAATATACGCTCAGGGTTCGTCCGTAAATTACGCAATGCTAAATTTATTTTGAAAACAGAAGTAGGAACTTTTTTACGCAGCGATTTTATTAAACTTAATGGGCTGTATTGATTTTTAATATAACTTAAAGCTCTGCGAGGGAAAACGTTTGATCTTTTTTATTTTGTTTATTACTGAAATTTAGCGTTGCGTAATTCTTGGACAATCCCTTATATTATGAATGTATACGTTCTTTGGAACATAAATAAATAATGTAACAATATAACTTTTGTTTTCCTTTATGAAAGTTAATTGGGTGGGTGACGGCTTGTGACAGGTTCGCCTTGGTGTCAACTACTCTGTCGCCGGCCGTGTTGTTCTATGTAGTGACATTCCAAAGGTTCTTTGTTGTATTTTCATTTTACAGTATAAAAACTATAAACTGAAATCTGAGATTATTTGTTTGTACAACATGTCTTTGTGGAATTCGCGATGAATCTAAAAGCCTCAAGTTTTACTTGGTTAAGGGTATCATCCGAACAATTATATCCGTTGATGTGGCTCAAAAAGCTTATCGTCAGAAAGGTTCTGACGATAAGATCAGTACGACTTTCTTTCAGAAAGCTTTTTTGTATTTGTCAAAACTAAAAAAAAAGCGTTATTAGAAAAGACGAATGACTTGAATACTACGATTAGAAATGAATAGTTGAATAACTTTGAATTAAAAATTCAAGGAAGGCGACTTTTTTTTACCTTAATTCCCATAGCTTCATTTTAAGAAATACAAAATTTGGTCCGTAACGTCCGCAATTTTTTAATTTTTTTGAAAAGTTACAAAAAATTGCCATCTTTATCATTGAATTAGGGCTATAGATATATATATATATATATATTTATATATTTTTGTATATTATGTATTTTTAAGTGTAAATATATATCGTGTGTTTTTTTTATAAAATCTGCTCTTTAAAAGCTATATTGATATTAAAATTTAATTTATTTAAAAAACTAGTACTAAAACTAGAAATAATCAGCTGGATATGCTAAATGACGGTTTCCCTAACTTTCAATGTTATTAATTATAAAGATAAATTTCAATTCAATCTCAAATTCCAGTTTACAACTATGTCTAAATTACAGTTAAATAGTAGTTTTAAACAAAATAGACATAAAAATCACTGTTTTTTATTTATACACTGTATTTTAATGAAATACACTTTTCAATGACTAAGGCAGAAATATTATTCAAAAGACAGCTGTAGAAGATTATAAATAACTTTAGCAGCGAACGTCGGAGTCATTTGGACATTTACCAATGAATTAACTTTTATAAATTTTTCACAACTTTTTGAAACCTTGCCTAATACAATAGATCAATATACCTGCGGATCAATATCTTTAAACGTTTATTAGCTGTTTTTAAACGAACTCTACTTTTGAATATTCTTGTTATACGATATATATATATATATATATATATATATATATATATATATATATATAATATATATATATATATATATATATATATATATATGATTTTATGCTTATACTTTATATGTTAATACTTATGTCAAAAAGGATGCTTTGCAAAAAAAAAAAAATTTTTTTCTAAGTTATATTCATTAATAAATTTTAAATTTTATGTTTTAATCTTTTAAGATTGCTTTATGTTTTAAGAATGTTTTATGTTTTAATCTTTTAAGATTCAAAAGTTATGAACATATAGAATTTGTAACTCCCTTAAACGAGGGGGGGTTTATAGTTAGAGGGGGATTAGAGGTTAAGCTTGCGGGGTATTTATATATATATATATATATATATATATATATATATATATATATATATATATATATATATATATATATATATATATATATATATATATATTTATATATCATATAACAAGAATATGACTTAAATATTTTTTGTTTTGTAAAAAGAAGTTAAAATTATTATTAAAAATTTGATAAAGAACAGAAAAAAATCCCCGATTTTTTTTATGAGAAGAAAGAAGACTTCTCCCAGAAAGACTTTTTTTAGGTAGAGTGGCAACCCCTATTATGATAATGGTCATGGTCAAAAAAATCTACTTTGTATTTTTCAATCAATTTTGCACTTTACTTTAGTCGAGCGACGAGTCGAGTCTAAATATCCCTTATCTGAGTAGAGTGTTTTCTTAGTATAAGGTTTATCTGAGTAGAGTGATTTCTAAGCGTATGGTTTATCTGAGTAGAATGTTTTCATAGCTTATAGTTTATATTTGTAACCAACAGCAGATTTGCATTTTAGTTAAAAAAACTTAGAAATTTAGGGTGTTAGATATTCAATTTTTGAATATTTTTGATTCAATTTAGAAATTTAAGCTCCCTCCCAACAAAGGTTAAAATACTTTTTTAATCAAGGAAAATATCATTAAAATTTGCCGTCAAAAAATAACTGTCGTCATTAAAGCAGGATTTTATCAGGACATAAAATTATAGTTATATTGCATTTAAAAGATAAAATTTGATAGAAACAAAATTTTTAATAAAACTATTATTAACATCTAAGTTATTGAAAATTTAGTGACACATATAACATTTAAAATATACAAAATATATATCCCTTAAGTATACATTGAACAAATAAACTGAATCGAGAAATTACTCTGAAACCTCAGCAAAGTTTTAAAATTATTTCATTTTTACAAACATATTGTAGATATCTATTTGGCATTATTTCATGCATTTAGCAGATAAACCTGATCCTTAAAATAACTTTTTATTTAACAAATTTTCACTCATATGTAAATAAAAATGTAAAACCAAAAAAAAAACTTCATAAATATTAAATAATATTCTAAAATTTAACAAATTAAATTAGTAACGAAGCTCTTCATCTAACATATCTAATGAGAAAGCCGAGTCATTTTCAATATTCCATAAAAGCTCTTCATCAGTGATACTTGTCTCAGAAATCAGAGTTAAAAGGTCTACATAAAAATATACAAAAATATTTTTTTTCATTATCATACAAGAATTATTCTTGAAATATAATGATAGGAAAAACACAGATAAAATGATCTGAAAACTTTTCAGGTTCCGATTCCATCAGATAACGAAACTCACAAAAGCTTTAAAAAAATTCATCAATGCTGATATTGCTTGTTTAATAAAAATATCAGGAGTTTAATGAAAAATATTATTATTAACTTGTTTTGCTTACAAAAAAAAAAAAAAAAAAAAAAAAAAAAAAAAAAAAAAAAAAAAAAAAAAAAAAAACTATTTTCATTAACTAATTCTTTTGTGTGGGTGTGGATAAAAAAATTTGACTTGATTGTGATATAAACGTAAGTGGCGTGCATTTAAAATATTCGCGACTTAAGTGGTATATGATATAAGCACATGTAATGTGAGATTAAAATATACCCAATGTTTAATTAAAACATGTTTCGTAATTGAAACATGTGACACAATCTTCGGAATTAGGTTCGGCATTCGGCAATGCCGAACTAACTGCCGACCTAAAAGTGTTTGAGGTCGGCAAAAAATCGCCGACCTTGTTTCTATGCTTTATGGTCAAACCTCTTTTTTCTGCCGACCTGATGCCGACCTCACACAGGTTAAGGTCGGCAAATTATTGCCGACCTTATTTTTCCTAATTTCGAGGGCTGGTGACATGTCGTAAAAATACATGTGATGAATGTTAAAGGCTGTTTATATGAATCGGGTTAGCCCAGTTAACCAGGCTGACTAAAAAAATAATAAACATAAAAAAATTATTGTTTACATTGAAACTTCAATTTAAATTTAAATTACGCATTTTTTTATTTATGTAACCGTTTAAAAGCAATCGGAAATGTTTTTGATTGGAAAAAGAAATTGTGTGATTTATTTTATACATGAAATACATTGACGAGCAGGGCTGGCTCACTTGTTTGCGTTTATATAGAAAATCACTGAAATTAAGCGAGATCTCAGTTATCCGGGCTAGCCCATTTGTCATGTAAACAAGTTTAGTTTTAACAGGTAAATATTTAACATGGCGAAATCTTGTTTAATTGAGTCAACCAGGGTAACCGGGGTAGCCCGTCTCATATAAACAGCCCCTTAGAAACATATGATTTGAAACTAAACCACATTTAACATGGGTATGAAACTAATCTAGAATAAGATTAAAACACTTAATTAAAAAATACCTTGGTCAGGAATATCGTAATTTGATTTCTCAAATATTTGGTGTTGTAGATTGGTAACAATAGCTTGAAGGTTCAATGAATCATCTTTAGAGAATGTCATATTATATGTGGGTTGATAGTTGATCGCTTTCTCCACATAGTCAGGTAATTTAATTTTGTAATCTTTTATATGCACCAATATAAAATAAAACAATAAATTTAGAAACAATACTCAACACACTCTTTGAAAATCGGTAATCGGTAAAATGCGAACTGCAAACCAGTTAAATGCAAACTTTTTAGCGAACTAAGAAATTTTATTTTAATGACCACTATAGTTATGATATTTAAAAAAACGTTTGCTCTTTAATTCTTTCATTTAAATCAAATATAATGGAATTAGATTTATATTTTTTATTCATATTTTATTTCTATTAAATTAAATAAAATTTATGCACTTCTGCTCAAAAATTTATAGCAAAATAAGCAAATTAACGACAAACGGAAAAAAAAATTACATTATTGACAACCAATAGACGTATCCCGCAATCCAATGACGTAATGTAATGACATCACGCAATGATAAAGCGTAAACAGAATATTGTAGTTTTTATTATATCAAATTAACGAGTGATTTTGCCTGTTTTAATTAAATAAAGGAAGAGGAAGTGGAACTTATTGCTGTATTCCACAATGCAAAAGTTCATTTTACGACTTAAAAATAGAGTCAAGAATTGAAATACCCAAGAATACTGTTCGTCGAAATAAGTGGGCAAAATTTATTTCTGAATTTAGAGGAAAATACGGTAATGATAATTTCGTTATTAAGGACACGACTTTAGTATGCGAACTTCATTTTAATGTAGACATTAAATTTTTATCCAATATTGGCAGAAAAACTTTAAAAAAAGAAGCATTTCTATCTAATTTTGAATTTAAAAAACAAGTTGTTGTTCAAAAACGATGTACGCCAAAAACAAGAAAATTTATCGAAAACTTTGAAATTGAAAACGTTTCTAGAAAAAAAGACGATAATTTTAAAACGATAAAGAACTATTAATTGATTTTGAGGTTGAGAAAGGTTACATATGTTGTGTTGAACTGCAAAACAAAATTGATCTACTGGAAAAAGAAAAACACGAGTTGAAATCTCAAATAAGCATTTTAGAATCTAAAAATAAAAAACCAACTGAATCAATATAAAATTAAATATATACTAAGTTATGAAAATATGTCAACAGACAAAGAACTCTTCCAAAAATATACTGGCATTGAACATGAGCAGTATAATAACTTGTAATCCAAGCAAAAATGGTGAAAATATTAAATACCTCAACTCAGCATTATCTGAAAAAATGCTAAGGTTAGGTAATCAGGCAAAAACTGGTCTAAAAACAAAATTTAAACACAGAAAATTAGTTATTTATGTTTTTACTGTGGCTAAAAAATGGATTTACAATTTTGCACACATCTTGGTTATTTAAAATTTTAAAATCAACAACATCTCTTTAATTAATAACATGGACAAACTTTCTATACTTTTCTTTGGTAAGTGTACCTATATGGCCTTCACGCAAACAAGTTAATAATTTTATGCCAGAAAGCTTTAAAATGACATTTCCATCAATGAGATGCATTATTGATTGTACTGAACTGTTTTGTCGAAAACCATCACTGAGACACCAGATTTCTTTAATCTCCAATTATAAACTTACAAAAGATTGTTATGTATTTTTTCTTCAGGAGCAATAACTTTTATATGTCAACTTTATGATGGATCTATTTCTGACAAAGAAATTGTTGTAAAATCAGGTTTCCTTAATAAAGAACTATGGAACGAAAATGATTCAGTTATGGCTGATCATGGGTTTACCATTTCAGACCATTTAAACACAACTAATGTTAAATTAAATATACCATCTTTTTTTAATGGAAAACTACAGCTAAGTAAAGAAGATGCTACAGAAATTCAAACCATTACATCATTGAGAATTTATGTAGAACGTAGAATTAAAATATTTTGCCAAATAAGTAATAAAATTCCTTTGGTGTTTCACGGATATGGACAGTAACTTTTTGCCACCACCTATCAAAAAATAAAATCAAAGGCAAAAATAATTATTTACATATAGAGGGTAATATACTTTCTTTGGTATTTACATTATTGTCCAATACTTGTGGTAAAAAATAGTTAATGTAAAAATCATTTAACTTGATTGTCGAATATTCTTATAATAGCAATTCTTTTAAATGTGTACACAACAAAATCACAAAGCTGGGAATTACTTAACTCCATTGCCATTTGTATTTGTGTATAATAATCTTTCAAATGTTTTTTTATTGCAATACTTTTGTTTTTAGCTTCTTTTTTCTGTAGTTTTTATATTTAATAGTGAATAGTGGCAAGTATTTTAAACTTTTACACCATGTTAAAGTTTCATCTGCAGATTTCAAATTAGGTGAAATATTTAAATTTCTATTTATTTCTAAAACAATTGGTATTTCAGTTGAATAATTTTGTAATTTTGTAATTTTACCATAACATCTTCTACTAGAGAGTTCATTTTTTAAACAATTCGATATTTACGTTTTATCATTGCCTGATGTCATTACATCATTATGTCATTGGAATGCAGGATACATTTATAGGACTATGGTTCACAAAAAAGTTCACATTTTATTGGTTTGCAGTTTGCATTTTACCAACCATCATGAAAATCTATTTATTAACATATGTTTATACAGGATAAATTACTCAATATTTAAATACTTTTTTTCATCTTGTGATAATATAAAGAACGTTAAAAATTACAAAAAAGTTAAAATTTAAGTTTAGAAGAATAATTGAATAATAAAAAAACTATTGAAAAAGACGCAAATTTGAAAAAAACATTTTGTAAGATAAAATATCGGGAAAAATACCAGAATTTATTTCCCTCATATTTGTCTTAATTTAGCTTCAAACTAATGACTCATTTCAATTTTTTGAAACATTTTTTTTTATGGGCATTTTTGTAATGACTGAAAAAGTTTAAAAACATATATATTGCAAATATATATTTAAACTTGTATTAAAGGAAAAATTTTTGGAAATTCAGAAAAACTATAAGTTTGAAGAAACACCTGGAATACCAGATATATCTGGAAAAAGATGATCCCTAATAGGTAATGACTGAAAAAGTTTAAACACATATATTGCAAAAATTAAATTTATGTTTACTGAAAACTTTTTGGAAACCTGGAAAAAATAAAAAATTAAAAGAACTATCTGGAACTCAGGATATATCCAGAAAAAGATAATCCCTGGCCATGTTGTCAAAAGCTTTTTACAAGTCACCAAAGATTAACTTTTTTACTTTTACAAATTGAGTTAACTAGTAAAGGGTAATTCAATTTAAAACTGGGACAGTCATTTCATTCACCTCTTGGATTTTCTTTAAATTTTACCTAGTGGTACATTACAGTGAAACATAAAAAAATGTAATTCAAATGGTTCAAAAGTTATGACATTTTGAAATTAAGCCTAAAAACTTAAATTTTTTGTCAAGTACGCCATTATTGATTTTGCAGTTGTCCTGTTTAATAACTTAAGATCTAGTGGAATTTGAAAATTTTTTGTTCTGTTTCATTAACTCCCAGAGTTGGCTAAGTCTCATGGATTCAATTTTTTTTTCAAATGAAGTAAGTGATTCTAGACTATCTTTATAAAAAAGATGGTTTTAGTTTCTTAAAGCATTATAAAGATATGTTATTTTGAAATTTGGACAAAAAAAATCTTTTTGTAGCCTCTAATCTCCATTATAGAATTTATAGCGATACTTTTTTTGTGAATCATTTCAGTTCTAGTGGAGAACTATGATTGAAAATTGGTACTTGGTCAATTTTAAAGATATTGAATACAAAGATAAAGATAAAATAACCTAATTCCTAATATTTTAGAATAATTTTTTAATTTAAAAATATCAGCAGTCAAATTTTTTGGTTATAACCATGATTTACATTTCACTTATTTCTGGAGTTGCCTTACTCTCATTGTGAAATAAGAGGTCTTCAAAAAGTTTAGGTCTCTGAAAAAAATTATATTTCATAGAAAAAAGGTATAATATATAAGATATAAATAGAAAAAGAAAAAATTATATTTCAAAGAAAAAAATTATATTTCATAAAAATTTCAGATGCACCAAACAGAAAAATCTTGAGCATGGTGACATAAGTTGTAAAAATGTTTGCAATTTTTATACTGCCCTACACAGCCATCAGAAAAATAATGAATTTTTGTAATTGCAGGACAATGATGAGTTTTTATATGATTAATGGTATTTTGCATAACTTCATTGATAAATCCAACATCATTCAACATGATTCAAATCATCTGAAATTACACAAAAAGAAGACATTCCAATTTCACTTTCTTGTAGTAGATGACAACTGGATGAAGAGAACATTGACTCTTGCTAATGGTAACTCTGTATCTCTTCTTGTAATACAAAAGTGTAATTCTCTGAAAAATCTGCTAGTACAATAGCCTCATCAATACTAACTTTTTTTTTAAAGATGTTTTTGCTTGTGTGAGCAGATTGTGATTTTACTATAAATGAATGAGAATTTTATAAAGTTTTTCACACATAAACTCTATGAATTCATTTAAGAGAAGTTTTATTTTTAATAGTTTGGTCCTATCTGTCGTTGTCCACTGTTTGAAATTCACTGACTGTTCATTTTTGTCACTGTCATATTGCTACAACTATTTTCACTGATGCAATAGTTATAGGACAACTATTGCATCAGTGAATCATGCAAGCTTTCGATTTTCTGCTGCAAACAATCTTTTCAATGATTTCATGGTAAGATTTTTCAAGGCCTACAGCACTCAACATTTATTTAACATTTTAGTATATTGTACACACACAAACAGAATGTGTACCTTTTGGACCAGCAAGGATGCACTATTTAGGCTAAAGACTGCAAAATTTAGAAAATCCAATTTTATGGTCTGGGTATTTAATATGTCACATAGAGCTCCTTTAAGTTACACAAAACTGATTTTTTTGACATTTTGTTTTTCCCAACACTTACAGTCTTTTTTACCTGGCATTTGCCTTGAATACTCATCATCACAATAAAAAAGCTTTACAAGTTCTATAACATTCAAATACATTACGGAAAGCTATGATGCATTTTTG